ATTTTCTGATAGGTTGCTAAATGCTTACAACAGAAATATTTTAGGCTTGTATAGAGCAAACATGGATATTCAATTCATTCTAGATGCTTACGCATATTTTAGGCTTGCATAGAGCAAACATGGATATTCAATTCATTCTAGATGCTTACACCTGTTGTAGGTATATAATTAACTACATAAATAAATCCAACCGTGGCGTGTCGCAACTGCTTCGAGAAGCAATGACAGAAATAAGCCATAGAATTGTTAACGTCAAAAGAAAATTGCAGCATTTAGGGAGCAAGTTTATTAACGCTACAGAAATATCTGCCCAAGAAGCTGCATACAACATTTTAGGCTAACACTTGTCTGAGGCTAGTGAAGGGAATGTTTTTATTAACACTTGCCATCCAGATAAAAGGGATAGTCCGGATAGTCCGATCTAACAGAGAATTAGAACAGCTTCCCGCAAACTCAACAGATATTTTTGAGCGAAATTTACTTTATCGATACGTGCAAAGACATGAACAACTAGAATCGTTATGTCTTGCGGAAATTGCGGTTCAAATTCTCCAAGCTAAATGCACGGTCAGAACAGTCAAACGAAGAATATGACGAGCCAATCGACTTTGATGCAGATGAAGAAAATAACGTTGCTGCACAAAGTTACCAAATGCTGGGACTGGTAGGGTAAAAAGACGTAATAATGCCCTAATTCTTAGGTGGGTTCGCTTCAGTTTAAGCTCTTCTCCATCAGATTATTTTAGAGAGCACTTAATGGTCTTTTTACAATGGAGAAGTGAAGAGACGGAACTCATTTCAAACGACAATGAAAGCACATTTAGAAACAATTTTGAAATTGTTAATAGCAATAAAGAGCAGTATGACGTGTTTGACGACATGGAGTTATAGAGAGTTCTTGAAGATCTGCAAAATGTGGATAAAGAAGAAAACGGCCCCCCTCCCGAAGGGCAAGCCTCTCAATACCTTGAAGAAGAGTTCAGGGCTTTGGCAGCACCCGACGTCGGCCAAAACGTAAATGTACTCCAAGATGAAAATGATTCAAATGGCGTACTTCCTCTTATAAGACTTCCTGCGATGGTATCTGACGATAACCTTTGCTCGCTTACCCGGTCTCTCAACTTTAAGCAACGCCAGTATTACGCCCACGTAATGTATAATGTTGCAGCCATAAAAACATTTTATGAATATGTTGGTGGAGGGGCCGGAGTGGGAAAAAGCAGATTGATTTCTACAATATTTCAGTCTATAACTTGGCGAGCAAATAAACTTCCTGGCGCAACAGATTCCGCAAAGGTTTTACTTTGTGCTCCTACTGGAAAAACAGCTTTTGGGATTGGGGGACTAACGCTTCATTCAGTTTTCTCCCTTCCTGTTAATCAAACATCTGGTCCTTTAAGACCCTTAAGCAATGACACTTTAAATACAATGCATTGCAAGTTGATTGATATCCAATTAATTATTATAGATGAGATCTCGATGGTCGGATCAAAAATGCTTGGATACTTAGATCAACGATTTTGTCCAATTTTTAGAAGTCAAGATGTAAGTTTTGGGGGCAAGTCTATAATAGTGTTTGGAGATCTGAAGCAGCTTAGCCCAGTTGGAGATCGTCGGATATTCGCAGAAAATACATCTAATCCCTATAATATTCTGGCAGGAGCTAACCTTTGGAATAACTTTAAGTTTTTCGAGCTAACGGAAATAATGCGGCAACGTGACGACCACGCTTTTGCTTTGGCTTTGAATAATATGTCTGAAGCCAACATGACAGATGCAGATATTGAGCTTTTCAGGACAAGAGTTCTTCCAGTAACCGATAATCCTGATGATGCAATTCACTTATTCTGTTTTAATGCTGACGTAAACCATTACAACTCCCTAAAACTTGCCCAAATTAGAACTGAATTTGTGTCAACTGCAGTAGATACAGTTAAGTCAGCTAATATGTCTGAAAGAAGTCGAGAATCAACTCTTAGGCATGCCTAAAACATGAAGACCTCTGAAACTCAGGGTCTACCATATATTTTACACCTGAAGGCTACTGCAAAATAAATGGTTACCGTCAATATTGACACAATTGATTGACTTGTAAATGGGGCAACTGGTCAATTAATGCGAATTGACAACTGTATGGTTAACGGCTCATTATTAGTTACTGGACTGTGGATTAAGTTTACAGATGCCACTGTCGGTACTATAGCTAGGTCAAAAGTTCGAGGAAATGATCACACAGACTGGACTCCAATTTATAAAACAGCCCGAGTATTCCCATGCGGAAATTCGGGACATTCTTTTATTGATCAAAAACAATTTCCAGTTGTTCCTGCTGAGGCTATTACCATCCATAAGAGCCAAGGAGAAACCTACAGCAAAGTCGCAGTGCATCTTAAAAGAGGCATTAAGCGAGCTTCGTTGTACGTAGGTTGCAGCAGAGCAACTAGCGCATCGGGCCTGTTCCTTTTAGGAGACTTTGTCCCTCCAACTAGATTTGGAGCTACAAATGTCCAAGTAGAACTTGAACGTTTAAGAGGGGAAAAAGCTTTGACTACGCATTATGAATTTTTGGCCAATGAAAATGAGGATATCTCTTTATATTACCACAACGTGGAATCTCCTCGCGCTCATCGGGAAAATGTTGCCAACGACAACATTATTTGTTCTGCCAACTTTTTATGTTTTGTTGAAACCTGGACTCTTCCACAAGAAGAGTACACTTTAAGGGATTTCGACATTATAGGAGGAATAGATTGTAATCGTTTGAATGGTATTGGGAAGAACTGAATACTTATTTATGCTAAACAAAACATTTCGCAAAATGTATTATTTCTGTTTGAGGCAAAGAAGTCCACAAACACAAGGGCAACGTATCAATCGATTGCATTTAAATATCTTGACACGTCATTTACAATTGTTTATAGGAGTCCCGGATTTCCTATTGCAAGATTTCGAAATTAATTTAAAGCTGATGTGGAAAAAGTGCGTAGACTGGATAATACTAAAGTAGTAATATTAGGAGATTTTAATATTTGCAGGTCCACAGGGACTGATATTCTGGAGGAACACTTGAATGCCTATAACCTCTTTTCAATCAATGATTCTCCCACAACAAAACAAATAACACAAATTGATTGGATATTTTCAGATCCTCGAATTCCACAAGCTATTGCCATTACTTATGAGACACCATATAGCCACCACGATGGAATATTTTTTAAGAATAGCTTGTAGTAGGTAATATAATTAAATATATAAATTGTAAAATTGTAATAGGTTAGAAAAAATAATTAATTGTATATAGCAAACTGTATATATGTATTTTTATGATATTATTAATTTATTTATTTCTATCTATCAACGTAGTTTTCAAAATTGTATATATATATATAAATGATAATATTTTCCCCCTCGTGGATTGTGACCTTGACGTGGTGTGGGGGCTAAGTACGTGAAATTGTTTTAATATCACTTAAGCTAGCAACAATCCTTAAAATTTAACATTGTGTTACTAACATTGATTATTTCTTATAACTGCAAGGGTATTCAAACTTCGGCTTGCCGAAGTTAACTTCCTTTCTTGTTATATATCACTTTTATACTTTTTATATATTACCCTCATATACGATATTTTATATATCACAGTTATATTTTTTGTTCACTCATTTATGGTTCCACCCTAATATACTACCACCCTTATGGTACCCGAGAGCTGAGCCAGCAATTGTACGACACTTGCAATTTGTGCTTGGTCAGCGGTCTGCCCCAAGCGTCCGGCCATGTATTTGACTTTATGTTAACCTTAGACCTAGTTCCTTTTTATATTGAATAAAGAGTACTTGTTCGAAAACGAAACTCCGGCCTTGGATTCACTATTCACTTAATTAATACAAATAGGCTATCGTGCCTTAAGGCACGATAAGGAAGAAGGCAACGGTAACCGCCCGGCGCGCCGATCGCCGCTACCATTCCCAGCTGCTGACGTCACAGACCGCGGCGTGGGACTACTACGACAAATTGATAATTTATATACTTGTAGGGGTCAAAAACGCTTACTTCTTCCTACTTTTGGTACTGATTGATTTTGAATATGGTTTTGATTTGAGTCGGTGTTTTCTGGTCCCATTGGCTAAAGTATGGCCGCTAAGAACGCTTTATTTTAAACAAGAGAGAACGCTACAGTCAATACCATCGAATATTAGGTACGCGTTACTCAGCTAAATGTACTGCGAGCAGTCAGGGAGTGCGAGGGAGATAGAGATACGCAAGTGGCAAAGCGTCAGACGAACGGACATGGCTCCATCGACTCAGCTGGAAAAACTCACGGAAAGCGAGGGTTTTAGCGTTAAGGGCGTTCCCAACTTTCTAGCTTTTACACTTTACGAGATCTCAGCGTTCATTCGGACGGGCAGACAGACGAACATGGCTAGATCGACTCTGCTGGTGATCCTGATCAAAAACATGTATATATTATCGAAAATGCTTCCTTCTACCTGTTACATACTTTCCAATGAATCTAGTATACCCGTATACTATACGAGTAACGGGTGTAAAATCGAATAATAAGTTTAATATGATTGTGACAAAAAACTAATTTAAATAAATAGTTTCAAATGCCTTTTGGAATTGTTTCGTTAACAGAGAATTTAGAAAGGTAACATGGATTTCGGGTTAATATTTCCAAAGTGAAAACAGGAAAAGACCTACAAGCCTTTTAATACCTATACAAGCTATATTTACGAAAAACTCTGGGCAAACTTACTAACCACTAGGCTATGTACTCTTTATAGTTCATTAGTTCATTAGAGCGACGGAGGAAATAAAATATTTCTACCAAGTCTTTTCGTGGGTTTGGGCTAGGTATAGCACTTCTAAGCTAATATTTCAAACTCAAAGTCCCCTACCCGCAAGGCCTCGCTCAAGTACTATATTGATTTAAGGTCCAGAACATTTTCCTAATTTATAAAAAATATCCGTGTTTTGAGAAAGTTTGTGTACAAACGTTAAAGCCAGATGCCATGATTACCCACCTTGATAATGCCGCGCTCCACGTCCATCTTGATGGGCTCCTTGTGCGGCACCAGCTGGTTAAGCCACTCCTCGCGCGTAAGACATCCCTTCACTGTTCGCTGGCCCTGCATAATTTGGTGCCGGTGCAACTTACCGCGTAGGCCGTCTCCGTGCTTAAAGTGGAAGCCCCGCAGCTGAAACTTGTCGCCAATTTTTCCCACTTGTAGGTAGTCCCCGTCGTCGCTGCTCTGCTCGCTGGGTGTGGAGCCCACGCTACCATCGATGCTTTCTTCGCAGCGCAGATGCTGCTCCGCGTCCGGAAGGTACTTTTGTTTGCCAGTGCGCTCCAGGAAGAACTGCTGTGTCACCTGGGCCCTGTCACGCCTTACACAGTCCTCGCGGTGCATAATCGACTTCAGCCTCTCCGTTTCGGTGAGGGTCTTGGGGAAGACCTTCCGCTTCCGGAAGACGGGTTTGAGCTCAACATGCTTGCGGAAGCTGCGTTCGATGGCGTCATCGATGACCGCCAAGTCGGCGCGCAGATCGCCCTCGGCCACTGTCCGACCCTCGATTTCCTTGACGGACGCTTTCTGCTTTCGGCGCTCCTCAAGCTGCTCCTCTTCGCGATGCTTCTTCCGCAGAAAGATATCCTTGTAGCGAGCAGCTCGACGCCTGCGCTCTTCCTCGATCTTGAGCTGGTTTGCCGGCTTGTCCGGACTCCGATATAAGTGCACAAGACGTGGCGATCGGGGCGGCGACACCTCCTCAACAGGCGTGTCCTTTATCTTCGTGCTGTAGCGTTGCGGCACTGCCAGCCGCTCCGCCCTTAGCTCGGCCTCGACGTTCACCTTGGTGTTCTTCTTCGCCTTTCGCCGCGCCATAAAGCGCTGAACGCGCCAGAAGGTCAGTGCGTTCTGCTGCTCGATCTCATCCTGCTCGTAAGTGGTCTTGTAGTCCATGCCGTGAAAATCTAATCTCAGGGGATTCTGCAGATCGATCACCTCGCAAATGTGCGTATCGGAGGTCTCTGATCCTGTGCTGGCGCAGAGGTTTTCCCCGTGCTTGACTAACTTGCTGATCAGACTGAACTCCTGTTCCTTCGTCAGCGGAGTGTGGCGCATCGCCACAGGATTGACCAGGCATTGCAACTTTCGCGGATCCTGAGTGAGGAAAAATTTCTGTCGGGCGGGCGTCAGCTTGGCCAGCTGCTCGTAGTTTTTCGGGCAACGTCCAATGCGGGGCCGTGATGCGCCGGCCACAAAACTGGCAGGGCACGGGCGTCTCCACTCCTCGCCTTTAAAATTGGGAGGACGCGACGAGCGCGCGTGCATCGAGTCAACAAGCTCCTCCGAATCGGGTTCGTCCTCGAAAACCGTTCGCGTCTGTTTGGTCTTAGGCACATTGTCGATCCGGAAATTCTGCACTGTACTGGTGGTAGAACAAACATTCTTGCGTATCTTGACCGTCTCGACGCCGTGTCTGAAGTGAGAATTGCTCGAGCTGGCGAAGTCCCATCCTTTGCCACGGATTATGCTCTTACCGCATTCATCACGCTTGTGCATCTCGGTGCGCTTGATGTTGGCGTCCGGAAACTCCAAGTTCTGGACCGTTAGTATGTTGTCGCGCTGCCCAAAGAAATCGATGTTCCGAAACTTTTCAATGGTTTTCTGTTCCCGTGTTTTTTTTTTCGGGTGCTTTCTCGGTGGGCACTGACGCTTGCCTGTGCTTTTGACTTTATCGCTGGCTCGATCAATACTCTCTGACATTTCGCTGGACAAGGCATGACCAATGGTTTCGTTGTTCATTTTATTTTTCGTTCGAGCGTGAATTTTTAAGGTCCTCCCTACCGTCTCCTGCCTATGGAATCTAGCTTGCAAATCGGTGTTTGGCATCGACATTTTCCAGTTTAAATGCTTGTCCAACATAAGGATGTAATTATTTCAAAAGCACAGGCTCGTTTTTGCTCCATAAATAAAATGAAATAATGAAGTTTACCGCCCTACTTCCCATGGGGTACTGATTTTTATATCCGTCACTCGCCGAATAAAATGTTATATTTTCATTGTCGGAAATTATGTAAAAGATAAAAGGAAAGGTTTCCGACCCTGCTCATGTATTGATACTCTTGCCAGGGCTCACTAGCCGAACTAACCATGTCCGTTTGTTAGTCTGTCTGTCAATCTGTCCGTATAAAAGCTGAGATTCCGGAAACGGGAAACAAGATCAAAAAGGCTTATAATTAGAAAAGAGGCTATACTTTTTATTTTTAAAATAACTTATAATACATTTAAAATGATTTGTATATAAAACCTATAAAATAGTCGTTGTATGAGTCTTAAAGAGTGGCTTGGATTAAGTTACGGCTTAGTGGCTACGGTGATGCGGCTCTTTGTGGTGCCGCATGCGCTTGCGATTTCCTCTGACCCTTCTAAGTGCCTAAAATAAGATCATAGCAGAACGATGTATGGGCTGTGAACGCGGATTGCCAGTCGGAGCTTTGGAGAAATATAAGGATTATTGCTTAACTTTTCAAGACTTACTGCCATTTATTGAAAACCCTCAAGTACGACAGGTAGACAGACAGACAGACTTTCTAACTACCCCTCGCGGCGTACATAAACATTGGTGACATAGCTCATCCAGCTTCACAGGACCGATCACCCAAGTAGGGAATTATAGCTCATCCAGCTTCACAGGATACACAGCTTCATCCACCTTCACAGGATACTCAGCTATACCGAGCTTCAGGGGATCGAAACCCCAAATTGGGAGCCAGAGCTCATCCAGCTTCACAGGATACCGAGCATCGCCCAATTTTACAAGACACAACTTCATCCGGCTACACAGGATTATTCGTCTTGCAAACGCGTGTTTTAACTTTAAACATTATGTAAACTTCATTCATAGAGGAAATAAGTCGCGCAGGAATCGATTTACATAACCAAAATGAGCTGCACGTAAAAATCCAAAAGCTCATCAATAATTATGTCTCGGATTCTATCGAACGACGCCACGGAGACGGCTAATATTTCGGAAAGCTTAGCCATTTGAACGATCTCTGGCAGCGGTTTTGTGACTTAGAAGAAGAAGTCCAGCAAGCGCCAGTACCCACTGGTGATGAGCATGCCTTAAGACTAACAGGGTTAAAGGAGCAGGTAGAGAAATATCTGCAAGTATTTAAAGACAACATGGCGTCAGCAAGCGGCGCTCAAAGGTCATATCCGCCTTCTCACAACACGACGACACCTGGCAACGACTAAAAACCAGGTAGCGAATCGCCCAAATATTTGGCTTTGCTGCAAGGTGTGAAATCGTCGACTGTTTGTCCATTAACGGGTCTACACAACAGCTTCGAGCACTTCATGATACAGTGCGAATGATTTTGAGCACCGTCTTAAACCTCGATATCAGCATAAAATTATGGGGTCCAATCCTGTGTTTAATTATCAGTGTTATGGAGTTTACTGCCGCACAACCTACAACAAAGCTCTGCAATCAGTCAGTGCCCAATGAAGAAAGCTGCAAGGTTTGTCACCAAGGACCACATCACTTTAGGTGTTTAGCGGCTTTCAGTATATGGATCCAAAACGCGGCGCCAAGCTATTATTCAAGTAGGAGATTGCCTGTTTACAGCTCATAATATAACATAAGGTTGAAAGCTATGGATATCTGGGTACTTATCGAGTCTAACAACAAAGCCATCATTAAATGTTCCTCAAAGGACCGACAAGCAATTCAGTGTCCGGCACAGTAACCACTACGGGCTACGACAACCCTAGAGGCTACGCCAAGGTATCATTACAGGGGCCAACTAGTCAACTTCAAAGAGTTCACAGGTGCATATAGCTTCAAGGATGATTGCAGATCTGATATCTCTCAAGAAAACGTCGTCACCAATCGAAATATCTGGAATCGGAGGGAAAATAACAACAGCAATTAGTTCAATTCTAAAGATCTAGTCATATACATCAGATTTAGAAACTATAGTAGAGGTATTTATTATTTGTAATGTCATTACTAAGTTGGCCCCCGTCATTACCAATTGCGACCGATCTTAATATTTCCGAGAGACGGCCGTAACCGTATCGTGACTTCCGGCAACATGGACCCATTGATCTAACCTTGGAGGCTGGTCTGTATTCCTGCCCAATGACCGGAAAATTTCTTAGACTAGGACTTAATAAGCCTCCTGCGCAAGGCACAAGGCTTGTTTATGTAGTCACAGGTTTTCTCAATAAAGAAACCTCATGCGGGTCGAAAATCAAACATATTTCAGTAGAAGGCGTAGAAGGTCTTTCAGGAACTAACCGTGCTTGCGAGCCAACGACAGATGAATGCTCGGTGGATGACAACCAATTTGATTAAGAAAATAGAAAACGCCTGGATGTGATGCAATGCCATTTTTTTCGCAAAAGGAAGCTATCAGCAGCAAGAAGATATGAATGACTTTAGTCATAAACAAGACCCCCCCGCAGTTGTATGAAGGATCCGCAATGGTCAATTATTTGTTAGCTGCATACTATGAAATTCGATCAAGGGCTGACCGATATCACGTCTAAATTGAGGGCACCCCTCCATGGGGGAAGAGAAATTTCGTACCCAAGGTTGCTCAACATGACCCGCACCCAAGTAGTCAAGTTGGTCACAGTACCAGGCACCCAGTTTTGCCAGGCAAACGCATGACTCGAAGTCTCAGTAACTCACCGTACGACTCGATGGTACACTCACCCACCAATCGATCAATACATTCTGCAGTGTCAGCATAGCAAATTACCTTCTGTAGAAAACATCCCATTTCACCCTTTCATTACACTTAACTTCCGTGTATATGATAAGGATGTCGCAAAGATGCATGTTTATAATAAGTATTTAAGCATATATCTGTTTAAGAATAAATCAGTTATTAAAGCAACTTATAACTCCGTAAATGTACTTCCTACCCCCGGGAACAGAGCTCGTAATACTCAGAGAGAGAGATTTGGCATGCACCACCTTTAGCTGAAAAAATTTCAGATATTGTAATTATTTACCCGAATTTAAAATTGCTTAGCTTTATTTTATGCTTGTTAAGAGGTGTTTTTGTTTGATTTATCAAAGGCTAAGGAATCTCAAGGCCATTATATTTCCTAATGCCAAAATAAATCGAACTTTTTGCCAAGCTCAAGGGTTTTCCACAAGTGGTTGTAAGTCTTGAACAGTTTAATGCAATAATCCTAAGTCCAGGATCCTAAAACCATAATGCGTTTTTTCGCTTATTTGAATGATACCGCCGTAACTTAAATCGCCATGCCTGCAGACCACTCGAATTGGGCTCGTAGGCAAATTTGACAGCGCCAACAAAAGAATAATATGGAAAAAGCGGAAAAAGCCACTTCAAGGCTAACTTGGGTAGACAAATACTCAAGACGGTTGGAGTTACCCAGCCCATGAAACGATGTCACTTATGGAATTAATCGAACTATTTTTGAAATTCAATCTCATCGAGTACCTCGACTATCAGATACCCGTTACTCAGCTAATGGGACCAAAGGGAAATGGAGATATGCAAGCAGCAAAGCGGGATTGAAATGCGCCACCTACCGGTGGTAGACAGATTTAAGCGTTATGGGCGTTAGAGTGGGCTTGAGAATTTTTTTTTTTGCATCAATCGATAGGTATTGACTACACCAATACATTTCAGTTAAAATTTTTTATATAGCATGAAAATTGTGGGCGCCACAGGCTTGGGCGGCTTGTGGGCGTTAGAGTGGGCGTGGCAAACTCTTTATTTGGATCAATCGATAGGTATTGACGAGAGCAATACATTTAAGTTAAAATTTTGTATAATTGTACCATTGTAGCGAAGGAAGCTTACGCCACAATCTCAAATCTAGGGCAATGACTTGAATTACAAATGCAAATAAAGTTAATCATTTTTGGTTGAGTTAAAAAAAATCAATTGATATTTTTTAATTTGGTGTTAAATATTTTATTGTTGACTACCTGTTACACGTTTTTGAAAAATTAGTTATTATTTTATTATTCGACCGATTCCAATCTCATTCGAAAATGAAGTGCCAGATTAATTTCATGCTCTTGTCTAACGAACCTCGTCCAGAAGCTTTTCTTTTCGAGCTTCTAGAACTATTGTTATACACGTTACTCGTAGAGTAGAAGGGTATACTAGATTCGTCGGAAAGTATGTAACAGGCAGAAGGTAGCGTTTCCGACCCCATAAAGTATATATATTCTTGATCAGGATCACTAGCCGAGTCGATCTAGCCATATCCGCCTGTCCGTATGAACGCTGAGATCTCGAAAACTATACAAGCTACAATACTGGGATTAGGCATGCAGATTCCTGAGATTGCTGCGCAGCGCAAGTTTGCTTCAGCAGAGTGCCACGCCCACTCTTACGCCCACAAACCGCCCAAAACTGTGGCTCCTACAGTTTTGATGCTAGAGTAAAATTTTAACTGAAATGTATTGTTCTCGTCAATAGCTATCGATTGAAACAAAAAAAAGTTTGCCACGCCCACTCTAACGCCCACAAACCGCCCAAGCCTGTGACGCCCACAATTTTCATGCTAGATTAAAAATTTTAACTAAAATGCGTCAATTGATAGGTATTGACGAGAACAATACATTTCAGTTTAAATTTTTACTCTAGCATCAAAACTGTAGGAGCCACAGTTTTGGGCGGTTTGTGGGCGTTAGAGTGGGCGTGGCACTCTGCTGAAGCAAACTTGCGCTGCGCAGCAATCTCAGGAATCTGCATGCCTAATCCCAGTATTGTAGCTTGTATAGTTTTCGAGATCTCAGCGTTCATACGGACAGACGGACATGGCTAGATCGACTCGGCTAGAGATCCTGATCAAGAAAATACATACTTTATGGGGTCGGAAACGCTTCCTTCTGCCAGTTACATACTTTCCGACGAATCTAGTATACCCTTTTACTCTACGAGTAACGTGTATAATTATTAACAAATTAAAGTGAATACCACAGATTGTATCAGAAGTAC